ACTCTTTCCTCTTTACATGATTTCATGCACAACTGAAATACCTTATTATGCATGATTAGCAACATAATTCGATGATGCTGACATCTTCCCCTATGAAAAGATAACTGAACAACCTCAAAATGCTGCACAGATCAAAAGCATATTACTATTTCATGTTGTAATTACAACTTTTTCTATCTTATTATCCCAACAAAATTAGTAGAAGCAGCAGTGTCATAGTGTGAGATATAATAGAAGTGTCAGTCTTTGGTCTTTAACACTTAACCAATTAATGAACTGCAGTACAAAACCATATAGGTAACAGTGCTCAAAGAGGTTGTTTGATGTTTTTATTTTCATTTTTTGAACAAGAAAGAGACAGTATCCTTTAAAATTATAACAGGGATATTTTACAGCATATAATACTATCAAAGATATTAAATACATGTGGCTAATAAGGTCTTTTTATATTTTACTGTTGTCATATGGGCAATTCTGAAGAGGTCAAACAACTATCAAACCATTTTAGTAGTGCCCAAACTGACATGCTAATACAAAAAGAGGCATTATTTGATACATGTATTTATGTTTTATAAAGCACCTCAGAGGATTATTTTTCGCCACAAATTTTATTTTTCTAATTGGACATTTACCTAAATGAAATAAAATAGTTCAAAAATTTGCTTTAGGGACCTCCATCCTACTCTGTCACCATAGAATGACTTGTTAATTGGGAAGCTCTTGCCTTAGCCATAACAAGAAGTGACAGCTCTTTTCTTAAGAGAGATAGAAGAATGTTCAGCCAGCCAAGCAATCTAACTGGGGAAACATTTGCAGGTGCTTTATCATGAGAAGAATGGTAGATAGTGTAAATAGCCCAAAACAGATTTAAGCAACCAAGATACAGTGTGAAGCAGCAGAAACAGGCAGAAAGGACAACTGATAAATATCCTTCAGTGTTGAATGGGGGACCTCTTTTATTTTACAGCTCAGCGTCATCACACCACATCTAAAACCCATGCCCATGGCTCAGCTTCATAAAACTAGCCCTAAAAGAGTAATGATTTCACTCCCTGTTTAAATATAATCTGAGTCTTCAGAGCTGCCATTTGCCCCCCAAATGAAACAACATCTGTAGGTGTGTACGACTTTTCGTACATTTTTTGGACTGTTAGGAACAGAACAACTGGGACATTGTGAGAAAGAATCATTCATCTGTTTTGAAACATCTACATTTTGTTTGTCTTAGCAGCCCTTCTTGCTTGTTTTTGCATCTCTCATGTGCACATGAGTGTTTAGCTACTGTCAACTCCAAACATTCAAAAATCATTAATCGGGCTCCCAAGAAATCATTATATTGGCTTATAAATAGTGACTTTTTTCTTGTAATCTGCCTTCGTTTTTTAGCCTAATGGAGTGCTCTAGTCACATGTGCAAGTTTTCTTTGCAATCTCGCAGACTACAGATGTAGTTAAAAAAAAATTCAATGGGGCATCTCACATATTTGAATTGTTACCAGGAGTTTGAACTTAAATTAAAGAATACCATGGTGAGAGTTGGAAACACTGAGCTTTCTTCACAAAACTCTCTTCTCTCTGTTTCTTTTTGTTTGTTTGTTTTTTGATGTAACAAAATTCAATTTAGGCAGAAGTAAAGGAGCTCATAAAGGATGGATCATTCAGCCAGGAATCTACACATGTGCTTCAGGTGACTATTACAGCTCAAATAGCAAATGAATAGACTCATAGCATGATATACTTGCAACACTGTACACCACTCCTTAGGTTTAAATTCATTCATTTGCATATAACTTCATCGTAACATTCTTAACAGTAAAAAAGACTCTGAGTCTGTGTACAAACAGTTTGGGAACAGGTTGAAGATTTATCTTCACTGAATAAATTACTCATTGCATATTATTTGTCCATCTTCTAAATTACCAGCAGATAAGCATAGGTAATTGAATACATGATATTTTGCAGCCATCCACTCCCTTTAAATATAATTTGTCTACATAAACATTATATTACCTGTGAGCACAAGTGAAAGATATTTCTTTCCTTAGAAGGCTCTTTGAATATTAACTGTACAGCTACAATCCCTAAACTCTCTTTTTATATTTCTTTATACTCTGCATTGTAACGAAGGGGCCTGTTCAAAAAAAAAGGAGAGAAGGAAAATAAGAGTCATTGTATGATATATTTTTATCCTATTAAATAAAGGAACTAAAATTTCCAAAAGGAAGTTTAACTGGTCAGTCTTAACTGGCTTAACACCCATCTTTTGAGTGCTGCAAGAGTCTATTTTAAATTCTTGTTCAGAAGCAGGAGATATAATTCTTTCTACAGAATGAAATTCACGCCTCTGAAGAGAGACAACAAAAGTTCAAACACCAGTTAAATGGTGTAGATCTCTTTTGTTGGTCTTCTGCATGGGTGAAGATCACCTGGAGAAAACAAAATAAATCCTATGAAATGAGAATAAAGTAGAAAATTAGCCATATTGTTATGGTTGCTCATTTTCTTGCTTTCCCTTTTTTGGTAAACTGCATATTGGACACAAGTACCTACCTTGTACTGCTTTCCCCGTGTTTTGAACCAGTTTAGAATGCTACAGTAGGGTCAAAATGTGTCCTCCTCTTTCTTAGACCGGGGAAGGGGCACTTGATCCCCAAAAGCTTGTCCAATAGCTCTCCCAACTGTGTATTTAAACCAATAAAAGATATCAAAAAAAGTCCTTATGTTCAGAAGCAGCTAAAACTATGAGTTGGATGGGGGAGTTCAAAAAATATTAAAACATACACTTACCTTATTGTAATCATGTCATCTTCACAATAGGAAACATTTTTATATGTTTTACATTCCTGGGTTCTGCAAGTTTCACGATACTCTTGTTAAAAAGTGTTATGACAAATTTATCAGCAGCATACCATACTGTCTTTTACTGGAGTCCAATTACCAAGGAAAACCAAAGCAGTAATGAAATATGATAAAGAAATCCCATATCAGTTAAATAGTAGGTAAATATTGAGAGCTGAGTGGAAATATGGCTGCATTATTTAAACAGAGACTTAATGGTGTCAACATAATATCAGTGTACTTGTTAGTATTCTATTTCATTTAATATATGACCATGTATTTTTAATGATATCACTTTGAAAACTTTAATAAAACACAGTAAACAAAAAGGATAATAAATGTAGTTAGTGTACTGCTTGTTGATGTTATGCATTACATTATTACTGATGTGTTTGCACTGTGTTCAAATGGCAGCAGTTAGACATGGCTATAAAAGAGACAAGATGTACCTTCAAAGATATTCTTTTCTTTTCTTTTCTTTTCTGCCAACCATAAATTACCTTGTGAAAAGTAACAATTTTATCAGCCATTTCCATATCATTCCATTTCTCTCTTTATCTTGTTCGATCCATAAGCTGTATGTTTTATTTAAAGCAATCACTTCACATGCAGTAGCCAAGAAATTACTGCATAAGGCCTTTCAGATTTGATAAACAAGAGCAGATGTCTTTTTCACTCTGGAAAGGTAATATTGCTGAGTGCTTCCAAAATGTACCTAATGTACAAAACCCTAGATTAATAGACAAAGAGTAACAACACACTATTTTAAAGAAACAAAACTCAGGGAGGGATTCTGTCTCTTTTTTTGTTAAAAACCAAGTACTGAATTTAATTGTTTAGTAAAGCAAGCATCACACAATGCTTCAAAATTTTAAAATTCAGGGATAAAAGTTTACATCCAAAAAGATGAATGGAAAATTGTGCTTTCAGACAGTAAAGTTATTTATCATACAGGGATTACCAATTCATCTCACCATTGGATTCTGGGCAAATTTGTATATGTACTGTATATATATGTGCAGTTCATATCCAGGTCCTGCAAAAATCTAAAACTATGTGCTTCACTTCATGTAGCAAAGGCACCTGTGTTATTCTCGCTTTTGGACAAAAGGTGATTTTATGATCCAGGTTTCCTGATGAAGACTACATTTATTTCTGAATATCTCACTCCCATCTCTACATTGAGTGGTAACATGAGCCACAAGAGAAGGCAGCGTTGTATTCCTGCTTACGCTGGAAGAAGTTGCTCTGCAGGCCATTTGAAGCTTCTGACTTGTCACAAGGGAAACCGGGTAGAATTGTGAAGCAGAGGGACAGTAACAAAGGCTATTCTGGTGTGAGGAAAAATTGGAGTCAGTTCAGCTCCACAAGCAGATGTTGCTACTGGATTGACATGTGGAGCCTGATCCTGCCGGGGACAAGTAAAGTTTACCACTGGGACAGACGCAGACCTCGTAGATAGTCTGTCGAGGAGCTGAAGAGCTAGGTGAGGAAGATGAAAAGGAACCCATGGGTAGATTTCCCAGTCGGATTGTATCTGCATTTAAAAATATCTACAGGGAGAAGAAAGGAACAAGATAATTTAATGTCTATCTGGATCCCAATATAATTAAAAAAAATGTATTCTGATGCATAACCACATAACCATTTGACTTTATGAAGAGTTAAGATTTTTTTCTGGTTCTCCTGTGATGTGCTGTTGAATACACAGTATATGCAAATACCTCTTAATATCTCTCCCAAGATTATCATTTAGCCATTTGTAACAATCATACAATAACACTGCTATAATGTTTCCTGACCAGGTTGAATTCTCTTGTGTATCTTTTATAATAAAAAATAACTCATTCCATGCAGAAGCATCTCCCAACCTTGAACAACTGATACTTTAATAAGTGTGAAGTGGCTTTAAAGGGCATTCTGCAGCATGTTTCTTTACATAGTAAAATGTATTGTTGAAATATGCTAAATTGAATAATGTTAACAATAGCTATATGCAGAGAATAATATAAGAAGGGTATATGTTCACATACACAGGATAGGATAAATCACTTATTAGACCTGATATATGGGGGGGAAAGGCTTTAGGTTAAAGTCTTATTTAGAGGGGCATTAAACCATTCCTGTTTGATTTTTTAATATTACAGGTGAGTCAAAAAACTTTTAAAAATGTACTGTCACCCATTAAAAATATTTTGAAGTTGCCTAGCCTGGAAAGGCTAATGCGATTACACATTTATCTGACCACATTTCTATAATTTTTATAAAGAACTTCCCCCACTTGCCAAATTGCTCAGGATGCTGATTAGGTACCACCACTATAACAAACATCATTAATGGAGATGAATAAAATAGGGGTAGGTTATAAGGAAAAATGCCTCTGAACAAAAGAGGTTTTCATGGTTTGGTTTTGTTTTTTAATTAAAGAGAGATGACTGAGGGAGATATTTTAGGTAATCGAGTTCCATGCAGATGCTCAACCACAGCTGAAGCAAAATTGACCACTATCTTAAATGAAGCATTGAAAACTAAAAATCTGACAGCATTTCCAGTGCCAGTATAAGCCCCGGAGAGAGCAATATATGACATCCAAAAGGAGTAGAAGTTCTGAAACACCACATAAATTACTGGAAGTCAATATTTTCACTTTAACATCAATCTACAACATTACACGTAAAAATTAGGGCTGTGTGAAGCTTTGGTAGCCGATTCAATTAGGAGGAGATTCAACCCAATTTGGCAGCCGAATCTCCGAATGTGAATAGAACTGGGAGACCCATTAAAAGGTCTGAATTAAATCAGAAGCCTCCAAATTGATTCAGAGAGATTCAAAAGGCTTGCAGAAAACAGAAATGGAGAAGAGAGAGGGGGATGGGGTGATCTTCCATATATGGAAAAGACTTGGGGGGAGGTGGGGGCGGGAAGACTGCTCTGATATTGACATCTATAGCTGGCCAGTGACTGTGATCTTTGTCTGAGTTCCCTTCCAATCACAGTGTTCTGGGGGGAGGGATATAGAAACAACATATAAAGCTGTGTTTGAACAGTTTGAGGTACACTTTCACAGAAACCCCTGTGCCTATCTCCTTGAAACTTGGCAGGCTACATGCCCTCAGAAGGGGCTACTATCCCTGTTGTTGTCATCTGAATCTTCAAAAACATAACAAAATGATAGGTATTTTAGTGATTACCCATTATAATCTATGGCTGAATCTCTGAATCTGCACCGAATCTTTGAATCCGAATCGGCCACATTCAATCAGAACAGTGATTTAAATCAACAAATCAAATCACTGTCCCTCTGATTCAGCTGAATCCAAATCTGAATCAAATACTTGCTGCTTTGCACAGGCCTAATAAAAATGTATAGAATGTAGAACGGCGTAGCATATATACTACTGGTCAATTCAATAGGCGTATTTTTTTAATAGTGAATGGTTACATAGGGCTTTTCTGTAGACTGAGAATAAACCACTTTGGAAGTATTTCTAAGCCTCAGCTATAGACAGATGAATATGACCAATCTGAGAAACTAAGGAGAAGAGAACCGGTTAGAATTTTATGAAGTTCAGTGCATACAGTCATGTTACCAATGTGAAAACTGGAGAAAATATATTGAAAGATCCAGCTGGTTGAATGTAATGGAGAGATGTACAAGAGAAATCTATAGACGGATGCTCAGTCTCAAAAAACTAAGCATAACCACAAAAATATCTCCAGCTGCCCCAGGAACACTGAGTTGGGATTCAATGCTGAGAAAGAATAGAAAGAAGAAAGTACTGAAAGAGGTAGCAGAAAAAGTAGTGTGCTGTCTTCCTGGATCCAAGACAGGATGCAATAGATGGGTTTTTGTGGTCAGTGGTCAATGATCCACTGGCAATGATACCTGTTTACACAAATGACACTGCTTCTTAATATACGTCTCAGATAACAGATCAGTAGTGGGCAAAATATGGCCCGTGGGCCAGATCTGGCCTATGAGGCCATTCTATCCAGCCCGTGGGGCTCCTAAAAAATTTAGAAAATTAATATTTATCTGCCCTTGGTTCCTATAAAAAATGACAAGAACCAAGGGCAGTAGGGTCCAGGAGAAGCTCGGCAGGCTCCCACAACTGCAGGGCCCACCCAGCCCTGCCCCCCAAGCTGGAAGCCCCAGCCAGGGCTTCTGGCTTGGGACCACATGGCTGACTTGGCACCGGAACCACAAGTAAGGGGGAAGGGTGGGGGGAAGGGCAAGTGAGGGCAGGGAAGGAGCCTGGGGAAACATGGCCTAGGGAAAAGCTGAGCACGGGGGGGGTGGGGGCTGCAGTCCCATGCCCACCCCATGCCCGATGCCCCATGCTGCAGCCACTCACAGCCCACATGGGGCTGCCTGTGCTTGCTGCGCTGGGGGTGGGGGGGGCGTCCGCCGGAGAGCCCCAGCCACAGGGCAGGCAAGGGGCCACTTTTCCCACCCTGCGCTCAGCTTTTCCCCAGGCTCCATCCCTGATCCTTCCCAGCACATAGGAAGGCATGCCTCCCCTCCCTGTGCCCGGTCCTCCCTGCAGCAGCCACTCGCAGCCCACGCGGGGCTGTCTGGAGCAGGCACAGGCAGCCCCATGCAGGCTGCGAGCAGCTGCAGCACAGGGCGTCAGGCACGGGGGGGGTCGAGGGACCGCTTTCCACCTCCCCCCACACAGCACCAGCTTGTTACCCAGCCCCACCGCCAGGCTGGCCCCCCCG